AAATGATATTAATCATTATTATATTATATTTATAGATTTATGTTAATACAAGAAAATTCTATTTCTTTTTGTCCTATTTGGTGTTATAAAGTTAAAAATGATCGAATAAGATCGAAAAAAAAAACAAATAAGTTTTAATTTTCTTGTCAAAAAAAAACAATAAACACTATTTTTTGTTTCAAGAATTATCTCTTCCGAAGTATTCACAATAATCTTATGAAAGTTGCATAGCATTCTATTGCACTGTATCTTAAAGAAGAAAATGTGGCAATGAAAAGTCCTAGAGAATTCTAATGTTGCTTTTTTTTAAACTCATATTTTAGGATATTCGTATGTTTTTAATACATAGAACTATGTACTGCAATTTTGTTTGTTTGTTCTACAGTCATTCCCACGAACCCAATAAACTACGTATACAAATCGAAATATCTAATAATAATATATGAGTTTTTTCGCACTCATCTATAAGAACGAAACTATTATCATCATCATCATCATCATCACTGAAGAATAGTAGTATGTGACACATATTCAATCAAGCGGAAACAATCGATAAATTTCGAGACTAATTTTCAAGTACGTATATTTAAAAAAATCCTAACTATAATTTCATAGTTTGTTGATTGAGTTATTCAATGTTATATGAATAATACAATTAACACTATCATTTCCTTGTTTTTTTTGTATTATTTTTAGATCTCTATCTTCAAATTTTACAATAAAGATAAATAAAAATGAAATTATCATTTTGTCAATGTCGAAGAGAGCATAATTTACCACAGAATAAAAACAAGATTTATCAACGATTATACGCTGCCACATATCAATCATTATTACCTCCACTCTGTTCTCAAGTTTTATTCAATGTAATAATATACAATCTAAATATATATCTGCAAAAGGTTTATCTGGTTGTGTTATACCGATTAGAACATTTTCAAGCACAATTTTAGCTCTTCAATATTTATACGGAGCTGTTTGTCCAATACGAAACATACCAACACGAGAAAATGCTATTCAATCATTTGTTTTAGTACGTATTGCTTATGACGAAAAATATTTGATTACGACATGTTGGATTAACATTAGATCCACGTACAGATGAAGAACGTCAAGCAAAAATAAATACGATATGTAATGTTACACAAAGATTCTGTACTGGAACATTACAACAATATTCAAGTTTCAATGATTGTCAACAATTTTAAAGAACACAAATACCTTATGGTTCATATGATAGAGCAGATCAAGGAAATGTTATTTCATATTTTGTACCTTTATTACCATCTATACATTGTCCACATGCGGGTCCAACTGAAGGAGGAGCATGTACTGATAAAACAATCGACTTTTATTATAATCAAACAAATTTTCTGGCTTTTGCTCATAAACAATAATAATCAAATAAAATCATGTTCTTTTTTATTTTTTTCAACTTAAAATTTAAATTATAAATTGATATCATTCATAAATAATTACACGAAAAATAAGATGTGTGAAGTCATAAGAAGGATGTAAAACTGATTTGGTAATTCGACTTGATAACTGTACTTCTTTATTAACTTAACATAATCTAATTTCAATATATTTATTTATCAGTTGATCAGAATTTTCTACAAAGTATTTGTTGAGAAATAACTATGTGGAAAACAAATGTCATAGATTCATGAAAACTGAGAACAAAATTACATTATTCAAATTTCTATACGAGTCATTTTTCATCATTATATAATCATAGAAATCACAATAGTATACATCTTTAAGAAAGTATAGTTGACAGTAGTGTCTTATTATTTTGTTTAATTTCTTTTCTTTTTCATTATTCTGTCATGTTACATATGTGAATTGAAAATAAGATTTTACAAATACTTTGATTTATTTTTCTTTCATTGAATGTTTTATCTTTTTTAATGAAAGTTTAAAAGAATTTATTGAGGTAAAACTTTCTAAAAATAAAAAAAAAAATGTGGCTTTTTAATGAAAGTGAAGAAGTTACCATAACTAAGTTCGACCTTGCTTGAAAATCTTATAAGATAGTTTATTTATTTGTAATTCAAAAAACGAATCTTAACAAGATATATCTTCAATTTTACACAAAGAATTTGTTCTCTGAGACATGAAACAGTGAAATGAATAAAAAATCATATTGTAGAGTGTGTTTTACTGTATCTTTTCATCATAAAGACAAATTTTACAAGTATTTATTTCACAAAGAAAATTTTAATATTCAAATAATGTGTACATGTTCTTTATTGTGTTTTCTGGATGTTTTTGTTTTTTGTTAACAAGTAAAAAGCTTCTCGTGAATTTTCAACTACAATACTGAGTTTTAATGGGTAGTTTCGTCAAGAATAGAAAACAAGTTATAAGCATAGTTTCTTCTTTCCGCATTACAAGAGTTCTTGATAGAATAATGTAAACAAATCTTTTTATGAAGTTGGTGCTAGTAGCATATCTAGAAATACGAATGATAACAAGAAAGACAACAACAAATAAAAATTGATACAGAAACCGTTTCGAATTATTTTGGAGCAAAACTTTTATCGTTGACCCATTGAAAAAGATCCCTAAATATGATTCACCATCAAGTGATGATAGTACAACATCAACAATTTATTAATATGAGTTGAAGATTCGTATCTAAAATAAATATGTTCTAAAAACTCTGAATATCAGTCCTTACAATTAGAATAACCATTATGAAAACAGTAATCTTTATTTCTTTGGACCTATCATCTATACTTGATAAATCATTACAAATAGTAAGTATCAATTCAACATCAATATCTTTATCATAAAGACTATTATTATCAATCAAGTGATATTTCGAAAAGAATTCATATATGAAAACAAATATATATTCGAAAATATTTTACAATAAAGCTCGTTTAGTAATTAATTAATGTAGAGCTTCATTAAAAACTCAAACATGTACATGTCTTGTAACGCGATTTAACATCAGATGTACAATATCTTGAGGGTGTGACTTATAAAATGACAAAAAAAATGTCATTTGTGATGAATAAACCATACGTATTCTTTAATGTTGTTTGAAATTCATTGCTTTTAATTCATGAAAATAACATGATGAGAAGGATACAAAAAGAAAGATCTTGAATTCTATAAAAACGATTCAAATCGTACAAAACTAATGAAAGTAATGAAGAAATCTTAGTCTTCGAAAATAATCATCATTATACAATGAAAATGATGTCAAAGTAAAGAATGAAATTTCCTACATGGAAATTCAAACAATAACCATTGAAATTAGTGATGGGCCGTAACATCTTCGTCTATCGTAAATGACATATATGTTTAAAGCGAACCAAAGAAAGGAAGAAAAGAAAAGCATGACGTTATGATGTTGGCTGTTTTCTGTTCTCGCGACTACACGTAAATTGATATAGATATGTCCTTTCGCTCTGACGTGAACTATTTTACTCTTCCTTCGCGTAAGACGTTATAACGTAATAATCACTTTTAACGTAAGAAATTAAGAATTTCCTTTTTCGTCGCTCAATAGCTCAATTGATACGTCAAAAAAAGAAATTGAACAAAAATTTGAGAATTTACATGAAACTTGAAACTATGAAGAAGAGTATCTTCAAATTTTTGTTGTCAAATATTTTTTAAATTATGACAAATATATTTCATGATGCTTAGTAATTTCCTATTAAGTTATATTATTTCATAGTAACACGAAATATTTAATTTGAAAGTCGTCTACAAAGTTAAGATTAAAGTTTTTAAGAATTACTTTTTATTGGCACAGAGTAAATGATTGGATTCCACACTTTACCTGAAGACATGGATTCCTAACATAAAGAATCGTTCAGTTCTAATGTAATCTTTTTTAAGAGGAAAAAACAAAGTCAGGAATATGAACACTTTGAAAAATAGCTGGTTGTAATACCTCGACTATGTAATTATGATCCCGTTAGTTCTGCATGATAGTACCTATCGATGAGTTTGGCTCCACTCAAAAAAAACTGTTGAAAATGTATTACTTCTTAAGCACTTAACCGAAGTCTTAACAAAAATACAACTAAAATATAGAAGAAACCTTTGTATTCTTTATTATTAAGAGGTACAATATGAGAAAAATATTATTCCAAGAATAGAAAATCATTGATTAATCTAGTTTTATGTTAGGTAGCAAACTCCGAATAAAATATAGTGTGCTATGCTATAATCGTTACTTTCGTATTGTTCTCATTTTCGTTCTGTCGCTTTTCTTTACGACTATTCGTTTACATTACAATTCTTTTTTTCTGTTCTGTTACGACTTACGACGATACGATAATGAACGTATAACGCTTATTACGTCTGACGGCCCATCTCTAATTGAAATGAATTGTTTTTGTTTTTGTTTTTGTTTTCTTTTTTTTTTTTAGTCATTGAGTTACGGCTGTGAATGTGATGTAAATAGAATAAATACATATTCATCGTCGACTGACGATAAATTGATCGTCGATGATTATCTATTAATCATTATCATTGAATGATAGTTCATGTTTTTCAAATATCCTATATAAGGAATGATATTCTTGTATAAAATCATTCAATTCAATCGATCTATTGTATCAACAATACATATATATGTTCCAATCTTAAATAGGGTATGTTGTTTCTTTTTTTTTCTCGTATTGGGATAAAAAATTTATAAATAAGTTGAAAAGTTCTATTGGCCACTAGAACTTTTCAAGTTATTGTTTTCTTTCATACTTGTGTTATTCTGTAGAGAGGGAGATAGATACTATTTTATATCACAGCCCGTCAGATGGCTTCGTAATCTGACCCAGGGAGATTTCTTGTGCCTATGTTGGAGAAAGCAGTGGAGTACTCGGGAAGGCCGTCTGTTCGTAGGTCCCTGTCGCCGTTTACGTACGTCACACCTATGATCATGCCCTACCAGTCCGGCGTGGTCCGCTCTGCGCGTACGTGAGAATCAATTGTAATGCAAATAAATTTATTCAGCAAATCGAAAACAAACAAACAAATTACATTTTCTTTCGAATTTTTTCAAATGTTTCTTTATATTCCAAAATATGAGGATGATTTGAAGGTAATTTTTCTTGAGCAATTTCTACGGCTTGTTGAACATTTTTCATTGCCATATTATATTGTCGAGTAGATAAATATAATTTCGCCAAATTGTGATATACAACCGCTAAATCAGGATGACTTTTTGGTAGTTTATTTTCACGTATTTCTAATCCTTTTTGATAATATGTCAATGCCATTGTATAATCTTTCATTTGACGATATGTTTCACCTAAATTTATATATGTCGTTGCACATTCGAGAGGATTACATTGAACATTTTCTTGAATATTTAATGCTTTTCGATGAAATGAAATTGCCTTTTCATAATCACCCATTAGACGATGAACATCACCAATATTACTGTATGTGATAGCTTGATTCGGATGTCTTTCTGGTAATGTTCGTTGAAATATTGTGAGGCATTTTTGAAAGTAATCAAGTGACTTTGAATAATCTTTCATATTGCGATACACTCTTCCAAACCAGCTGTATGTTGAAGCAAAATCGGGATGATCTGGAGATCGAGTTTTTCTAGTGATTTCCAGATCCTTTTTTAAAAACTCAAGTGCTTTCGAGTAGTCACCCATGTTATTATACACTTGACCAATGTTGTTGTATGAAGTAGCCAAATCAGGATGATTCGAAGGCAGAGCTTTTTTTCGTATTTCAAGTGATTTTTCGTAAAATTCAAGTGCTTTCGAGTAGTCACCCATGTTATTATACACTTGACCGATTGTACTGTAGGGAATAGCCAAATCAGGATGTGTTGGAGGCAGAGCTTTCTTCCTAATTTCGAGATCTTTTCCATAGAATTCAAGAGCTTTGGAGTAGTTACCCAAATTATTGTATACTTGACCGATATTGTTGTAGGACTTAGCCAAATCTGGATGATTCGAAGGCAGACCTTTTTCGTCGATTTTAAGTGTTTTTTCGTAAAATTCAAGTGCTTTCGAGTAGTCACCCATGTCGTTATACACTTGAGCAATATTATTGTACGTAGGAGCTAATGAAGGATCGTCTTTCGGAAGAGTTTTTTGCTCGATTTTCAGAGATTGTTCGTAAAATTCAACTGCTTCTTCGTATTGTCCTTGGCTGTATTTCATCACTCCAAGCTGGTGACAGATGTATGCTCTATCACTATCATCCGATGCCTGTTCTAGTAGTGCCAAATAGAGCTCTTCGGCCTTGTCGAATTGACCTATTTTGAGTAACAATTGACCCATTCGACGCCATCCGGTACCGTTGACTTCTTGTCGTATGTAGTCAGTTAATTCTCGAAGTTGTGAATCATCATCTGACGTCAGTTTAAGATCGACTTGATAAAGTGCACGATTGTTGTCAAGTTTTCGCACTTCACCAATGCGAAAGACGGTGTGCATGGAGAAGAGAATTTCTTCTTCCTTATAATAGCTCATCTCCTGGATGGAGGCGAATGGAGTTGATGATACTGTAGGATCAATGGTTATTTGGAATAGAATTCCAATCGTATCAGTCATTTTCAAGGCTTCTTTGGCGAAAACAAGGGAGATATCTGAATTTGTGCTGGTAGATAAAAAGTTGTTAAAAGAAATAAGCCCACCTTTGTTTTCTGCGAGCTTTTCAAAGTCTACTTTCGATAGGCCTTGCCCTCGAAAGATTGTAAGAATCTTGCCACGATAGTCACTGACCTGCTTCTTGTACAGAGCTTCGATTTGTCGATGCACATCACATAAAAAGAAACCCATTCGTATCATAATGTCGCCGTTCAGTGTTCGTAATGCGCCATTCAGCATTTTGTAGGTAAAACATTGGCGTGTATACCACCAAATGGCGTCGGATGCTTTATAATTACGTTGAAATTCTTGGATAATTTTCATTTCCTTCTTGTTGTCTTTGTATTCTTGTTGACAGTAGATGACCAAATCTTGGACGGCTTGTTGTTCATGTTCGATTTCAAGGAGTATTTCCTTGAATATTTGTGAATACATAAAAGAAGGCTCTAGCTGATCTAGATTCTTGCTAGAACCTCCTGCATTCACACTAACAATGCTTACCGACATGTGACCTTGATTGTATTGTTTGATTGCTGTTGCCAATTTGTCGCAAATATGTTTGATTGTTGTGTGAACACCTTTTATTTTCGGCCAGTTTTGCGCCCATACTTGATGCCGTTGTTTATTGCCACAAAATATGAAAATGGCATTTAATTTTGCCATATCATGAATGTCTGGTACCAGGTGTTGTCCAAGTGCACCTGAGGAGATAACAAATGAGATCTCCTCTTGATTTTCCATAAGCATTTGTACACATTGTTCAGCTGTCTCACATGGCTTGACTTCGTTAACGACAGCACGTAATTGTTCCATTGTATTTTGGCAATCTTGATTTGCCATGTCGATATTTCCATCGACCCAGATGACCAAATAATTTTCGGCCATGCGCTCTCTTCGCAGCATGGCTGTCGATGAAGCTGCTGTAATTGCACTAGCACCTGCTGTTGAAAGGACAATAGCTTTCTTGGAGTTTTTTCCACCCATATGTGATATAACTTGTCGTTGAATTGATGATTGAATATCGTGAATACTAGATTGTGGTTTCTACAAAGATCACCTTTACTATTTATATATTTGGTGTGCGCTGTTATTCTGTCTAAATATCTCTTCGACGTCCAATGTGGGTATTTTTTATTATTGAAGATAAACTCCGCCTAGTTTATCTTGAGAAAATTAACCATTGTTTGCTTTTGTACATGGACTTTCATTGTTCTTATGAAACGAGGTTTACAATGCAAGATAAGAAGAGACTCTGAACCAGTAAATAAAATGATAGCAAGAAGAACGACACAAGGATAGAGATCGAGGATGTTATCGTCGTAAATTTGTAGGCGAGTGCGATCTTATGTTGGAGAAGAGTAACAACGTATATCAGGGGCGGCGGAACGTTTTGAAGTTGGGTGAGGCTCAATTGAAGTTTATTTGCTATCCTAAAATGACATATCATATATCAGCATGAGGTAATCTGAGCGAATTTCAGATGATAAATCATTTCAAAATATTTAATTGTTTTGCTGTCAGAAGATTATTGTGCTAACGTATTCTGTTCTTTACTGGTAGAGTTTCTAAATCTTTGTAGAAGGACGAAAATTCCAAAAAACACAAGAACTATGTATTTCATATTAAAACATTAAACAAAAAAAAGCTTGTCTTTTTTGTTTGACGATATAAATATGGACACTATTTAATTGATTAACAAGAGGCATAGTTTGAGGTACAGAAGATGCTTCACGAGCTTCGTCTCGAGAACTTGTTGCAAGATCAGTTAAAGCAATTTCTTCTATAAACACAGATGTTGTTGCACCTTTTATTTCTTTAGTAAAATATTCCAAAATCAATCTGTACATCGTTTTCATGTCCCTTCTGTTTATAATCTAAATTATTGATTTTATGACTATAATCAAAAGAAAGTACTGTTTACCTGTTTAATTTTCATGTAAACATGAAATCACACTTTCCTTAGCAAGACTAAGATAATAATCTTCTAACGCACTAGTTAAATGATAATGCAGAGGCATTCAAAAACAAGAGAGCAACACATTCAGATAAGTATGCAAATAAACTCGTTTGACACTGTATTTTAGTTGGTATATTTGCTGACATTTTTAACAATTACTGTGGATATATTTCACTGAATACGTTAAAGAGAATGACAGGACACTCAAATATAGCTAGTTTTGATGTCTTTTGATCGCATAATTCCTACAGTTGGCCTAGTACACATATCACTTTATGTAAATGAGATAGAAGGTATTGCTGTAAACCATAAGAACGTAGTTAGTGAGTTTATTATTGTCTGAATTTCTTAGTTTTCTTTATCACAACATATAAATAAACGTATTAGAAGTTCGATTCTTCGAACTGAAATAATATTCAACTGATAAGATAAGTCTAAACCATCGTGCAAAAAAATATCGAATTCATAATTTGGGCAAGGCTGAGCCTGCAGACGCCAAATTTGGGTAAGACTTATGCCTCACCCAGTCTTTAGGTTCCGCCGCCTATGACGTAGGGTGTAGATGGTGTGAGTGTTTGGGGTAGTGATGTGTAGTTGTGCGTGTGTGTGATTGAAGAAGAATAAGCTACACTCACACCCGCACACTTTGAAACTCAAGGTCAAAGTTAACCTGGATGTTATCAAAAGTATCGTTGTCAGTAACAAAAGGTAGAGAAAAAAAACCCAGCAATATCATTTATTTTATGGTTATTCTTTCCAACTTTCGTTTTCTTATCATCTATATAGTTAATAGTCACTTGAAAGTCAGTGCGTTGGATGTCTTATCTCATTCAGTTTTTATTTGTCTTTCATTATCTCGAAACAAATAAAGATATTGTCAGTTTTATTTTTTTATTATGCATAAGACTTGCTTTCTGATAATGTGAGCAAAAGAAAATGAAGAATAAATTCAATATTGTTACAAACAACAATACAACAACAGTTTCTGCTTGCTCCCACAATATACTGTCCATCATTCACGAGTTGTTCAAGTAAAATAATAATAGTTCGAATATAATTGAGTATTGAAGTACGTATTATGAATTCAATGAAAGTACTAAAATATATGGATATTTTGAGATTTTTACGTCATATGTATTGAGAAATAAGTTTTTTTCTGAGTATAATAAATATTTTGTTAATACAAATCACGATTTTCAAATATTTAACCGTTGATGGAAAAGACAGTACAAAGAAAAAGAAATCTTACTTGAAAATGAATTACTATGTGATTACAATTATTCAGTTAATTTTTACAGTGTATTACAATGAATTATTTTAGGTTTTAATTAATTACATATGATTCATATTTAGCATGATATTATTCACATTTATAATGTCATTATTTTCATCTCTTTTGCATTTTTTGTAGTGTTCTTTCCATCGATACTTACATGGTTTAAAAGTGGTCGTTAGAAAGACAGAAAATTCCCTTTATATAAACAAAATATTCATTATACTCAGAAAAATATTTATCTATATATTTAGGAATGAAACCCGTGCAAGCTTTTATTGATTTGCTATTACAATATTTTAAAAATTGTCTACTTGCAGTTATGAACTTTACTCGTGTCACATACTGCTACACAGTTTCAATTCTAATTCAAATCAATTCTTAAAATAAAATTAACCTTTAGTTTTTTTTTTCTATTTCGATAGAACAGTTATTATTTGAATGAAAATAGTTTTATTTCTGGATACTGATGCCATATGTGATAATGAAAGTTGCATTTTATTTCGAAGTAGTATTAGACAAGTACTACTATATTCCCGTTTTTTCAGTGTGTGAAATGTAATCATGACCGTATCTCAGTAAGACTGACAGAATGAATTTATCATCACTCATAAGCTTGTTAATATGTTTTTTGATTTATATTAAACTCATTTGGAATATATATGGTTTAATAAAAAGACATCTTGTTCCATTGATATCCAAGATTCATAAAAAACTAATATTCAAATTGTGTTTATCCACATGTGAGATTCATACAATTTTAATGTGCATCACAATGACCATGAGAAAATTTCTGCTCTGTGTGTTAAAAGAACGTTAGAATCAATGTACGAAGTATGATTAGTATAATGTTAAAAAGATCATTAAAATCGAACAACTGTTCAAAAATTTCTTATTTTCACCCTAAGAAAGCATCTGAGTGATATCAATGAGAATGACTGTTTCAAAAACCTTCATTTCGAGAAAAAAAAACATGAAACTATATGAAATATTTTCTATCATCGATAAATTTGACTTCTGGCACTCAGCTCAGTCAAAACACTAAAATAAAACGTATCGTACTGTAGTAAAATTTAGCCCAAAAAACATGTTGAAAAATAAATCAATGATCAAGATTGGATCACTTTGATGCGGCTGAATCTTATCGAAAAAATAGTAATTCGATTTCCTACAACAAAAAATATGTTTAACGTATCAAAGTGCAAAAATACGATATGTTTTTTATTAGTGTGAATGTATACTGTTTGTGATTATATTGTATGAAAAAAACTGTTGATTCATTTTTGGATAAAAAAAGTCTTTCGGATACATATGGATATGTACCAATAAAATTTACTTTTTCTGATTTGAATGTAGATATTTGCTTCATCCACACCACACCTTATTGTCCAGATTTAATGGTATGCGACATGAATCATATCCTTGTGTAAAGAAAAGCAAGAAATAATTGTTTCTCATATATTCACATTCTATTCAGCAGAGAACTAAAACAGCTTAATTTTTCATATAGATCAGTTGAATATATAAGCAAATAAATCAAGTATTTTCCATGAAAACATTCTATAACTTAATCTTTCTGAGGACATCAAACATAGCTAAATCTCGTTGTATACAGTTTTATAAGAAAGTACGGACGATTTTGCTGATAACAAGTCCCTTCTTTTTGTAAACTTTGTCGTTTTTCAACCTTTAAGATTTTATTAATAAAATCTTGATCAAAATAGATTACATATCATCCTAATAATAAATCGATCTAACTCAGAGTTTAGCGAATTTTATCGTAATGATAAAGTGAACAAGACTTAAAATAATAACCATCTACATTAGTCGTACTAAAAATTAATTCATATTTTTTTATTTTTTATTTTATTTGACATTATTTATTAGTTTTGTTAATCTCCAGTAAGATTTTGTATCAAAGAAAGAATTTAAAACACAAAGCACTCAGTTGCTAAGAAAAAACAATAATAAAAGAAAAAAACTAAAAACAAACATTCATCAACTATTATCCAATATGAAGAAAGAAAAACAAAACTTTTATTTTTTCTTTTCTTTATAATTTTTCTGATGAATGATGATCATGAATAGTTTTTATTCTTGTATGATCATCATAAGAATTTTTCATATGTTGTTTAAGCATTTTTTCACTTTGATATTTAGAAAAAGCTTGTAATAATTCTGGACAATTTTGTTTTGCTGCTATATCAATAACACTTTCATTTTTATCATTTAACCAAGATGCATCACCTCCATGTCTTTTATCAAAAAAAAAATTAAATTTTCTTATTTTCTTATTTAATTTCTAATTAAAAAAATAAACTTACTTGAGAAGAATTCTTAATGGTTCAGCACCATCAAGTCCTAATAAACAACATTCATGTAATGCTGTATTACCTCGTCTACAAAACAAAACAAAATCAATATTTCTTAACATTTTGAATATCAATTTTTATCTGAACAAAAAAAGAAAAAATACACAATCAATCTTTGATTTCAATTGATATTAAAATCTCGATATATATATATAGAACTTACGGTCCTTTTTTATTACGATGTTTTATTTTTGTTCGTTGTGATTTTTCTCTTGGATATTCATCTATGTAAAAAACAAAAAAGTTTTGTTTTTTTTTGCAAAGAATACTTTTGTCTACTATCAGAATAAATTGTATTTGAATATGGTGAACTTCGTTCACTATTTATTGGATAATATTCATTTGTTTCATTAATAAAAAATGGTGATTGTGAAAGATTTTCTGGTTTACGAAATACTGTTTGTATAGTTACTTGATATTCATTTTCATGTACAGTTGCATGAATCATATTACCCATACGTGGTTCACCTAAAAAAATAATTAAATAATATATAAGATACATGTATAGAGAGAGAGAGAATTTATATTTTAAATAATAATTATTATTCATTATAACAAAATAAAAGTATTTGTTTTTTTTAAATATTAAAGATCTTTACCAATCAATAATTGAAAATCTGGTCGATTAACTGCATAAGTTTTTAGATGAGCACAAATATGATCTAATTGTTGTCGCCAATATCCTTTTCCTGGACTTGTAGATGTTAATATTGGACGATATTCTTTTAATTCTTTTTCATTTAATAATTTTTTATATTGTGTTATAATTAAATCAATATCTTTTGCACTTGGATAATAAATTCCATATGTTTGTGTTGCAGCTTCTTTTTTAATTGTTGAATATGATTGATGAGGATTAACTGAAGTACGTGTTAATGTCTATAGAAAATAAGAATCGTTTTATTTTTGTTTTCTTTTTATTCTTCAATTTTAATATACACTAGCAATCATTGATGACGATGAAATATTCAAATCATTTTAAAGACGTGTATCAATAATATGTAATGGTGGTTCAATAACACATCCACATGTTGAACAAAATTTTGCAAATGAATCATTATTAGTATGACATTTTGTACATTGTATTGATGTAGATGCATGATCAGGATATACACTACACCAATCACAAAAACGAGTATTAGGATTATTTAAACGAAAACATTTTGAACATGTTATCATCATTGTATTTGTTTGTTTTGATATTGTTGGAATTGAAATTGAAGTTCGTTTTTCCTATTGAAATATAAATACGAAAAAAAAATAAATAAGATTTTTCTTTTTTGTCTACTGGTGGTGTTGATGTTGGCATTAATACATTTTCACAAATATAACATGTTCGTAAATGTATTGGATTTGTTGATTTACAATGAGGACATAGAATTCTTGTCTAGAGAGGAACATTAAAATTTGATTAATTTTTTTGAAATCTGATTTTGAGAAGTTGGTCGCTGTTGTGGTTCTTTGGATACTGGTGTTTCACATACAACACATGTGTTAGAATTAAATGGAATAGTAGATTTACAATTTGTACATATATTAGTCTAATTAAAGAAAAATTATCCGTGTAAAATAAGATAACTACGATTCATTTGTAAAGTAATCAATACTGTTATGTAGAACAATACATGATTCGTCGAAGGATATACTCTTTATCAAATTTTACAGTTCTGAAAAGTCATATACCCCCCCCCCCCCCCCCCCCCAATATAACCAATTTTCTAATGTTTTTTTTGCGAAATCCTTCCTTTCCTATCATAATTAGTACAGTTTTTACAAAAAATGGTAGTTTTTTCAGCAAAAAACAATAATTAAAGTTATTAATTAATTATTCATTTTTGTAAATGATTTTAATTAAAAACTGACCAAAAATTGACCCCCAATAGAAGGCCATCCAAAAAATAGCGATGTGCCAAGACACTGTATAAGGGCATGCACTTCTATTCTGGGGGGAGGGTTACTAGTTAACAGGTATTATAGCAATTATGGCTGTTGTAAGATATGACTGTCGAGGACAAAGGCAACCAACTATGTAATCTTTTCCGAGTGTTATAAGTGTCATTCCTGAGAATAGAAAAATATATGACTTTTCTTTTTGGTTTTAGGCTTCAGAACATCGAATGTGATTCGGATATGTAGTTCTATCACATTCAACCTATGTTCGGGTTTCTTATAAGAATTAATAGCTTTCTCAAGATTCTGAAAGAGAAAAACGTTTTTCTACTGTTTTCGAAAGACTCATATATATATGTCAGATATAGGTTATTTTTGAGATCATATTACTCATCATTGCTCTTATATATCTTAGCTGGTATAATGACTTTTATGAAAAAATAATTTCGTAAATAACTATGAGTTGTTCAACAGAATGGGATTAGGTAGTTTCTTTTTTTCAAATGAAGGGTAGTCATCGTATCCGATAGAGTTATTTTGAATTACTGAATAATTATCCGGTGGATTATGGGTTAGTTTTTGCCAAGATAGACCACATTCCGTACAAAATCGTGTATATAAATCATTTGACTTAGGTGCAAAACAATGTGCACATCTAGAAAAGAAAAAACAAAGCTCAAATAATAAAGTAATTTTATTCCGATAAACCTTAAAACATTTGTTTGTATTTGAGAATTTGAATATGTATAATTAGTTGGATTTTCTTGTACTAATGAATTAATTGTTGAACGACGCATTGATTCTATATAGAAATTTGATTAATAATAAATAAAATTACTTTTTTTTTTTTTGATACCAGATATATATTTAACTGAATTAAATATGTAGAAAAAAGTTCGATTGCTTTACTAATTGTATGTTTACAAATTGTTTTTTAGATATATTCTTATCGGCGAAATGAAAAATATTTCGCAATAAATTATTTTCGTTAACATCTATCTCTATGTAAAGTTTCAAATCGAAATTTAAAAACTAAAATTGAAGATGTGTCAATGACTTTGATAAGTTTTGAACTTCATAGAAAAAAAAACATTTTAATGAAGTAATATCGATAGACAAGCATTAAATTACTACTATCATATTAGTGATCTTCTAATTGAACTCTTGAAATATCGAGACATTCTTGAATATCAATTTTTTTTAAATAAAATTAAAGATAAATATTTTTGCAAACTAAAATATATTTATATTGAAAAATTTAATATTTAATTAAACTTTAACATCTTGATTAGTCATTTATAATGACACATAAAGTTGCTCGTATATCCAAAAAGATTATTTTATTTTCGTAATATTTTATGAAAGATTCAATGTATTCAGATATGTTTTCTATAAAAATCGAGTTCATAATTTCTTTTAATGAAATCTTATCTTTTTCTAAAATATACTTTTTCAAATTACTTAAATAAATACTAAAAATAATATTCTTTCACTTGATTCAAATTCATTGTACATTTCATATAAAAATAGGTATGATTTCATAATAAAAAACAAAAGTATTCTATACAGTTTTTCAATAAACATGAGATAAGTAAATTTCTATTGAATTTATTTATTATCTATCATTTTGAAATTTTTTACCTTTCGTTCTTGTTGTAATTCATATAAATATCGATTTTCATATTCATCCGATAATGAATGATCTGATGGAATAATTTTAATATCAAATATTTTTGTTACTATAACACTTTCTCGTATTCCGTCACTAAATAAATTTTAATAAAAAAAATAAAAATTCTTCAAACTGATTTTTCTGTTTTCTCAAATATCTTTACCGTGATGCCTGTATTAGCTATATCTCTTGGTATATAAAATGTTTTTTTTTATATTGTATAGTCGAACGTCGTGTTGCTAATGTTATAAATGCATCTGGTTTTGAACCATCTAATGTATAATAAATATCAACATCATTTGTATCACTACGTATTTCAATCAATGTATTTGTATCAATGGAAAATTTTTGTGTATATCCAACACGTAATGGAATTATTGACGGAGCAGATATTGAACCAGCAGTCATTTTGTTTAACAATTCAAAAAGTAATTAAATTGACATGATGAAACCATATCAAACGTTTTTACATCAAACGGTTGTCTATCATTTTGAAATTTTTCATTACGAAGTTGTACTTCACGTCTTTCACGTTCTGCTTGTTCTCTATAATAATAATAATCAAAATTTCTTTAATCTTGTTCTTTTTTTTTGGGATTCTAAATAAAGACTTACAAACGAACTTTAATTATATTTAATTTATCTTTATATTTTGATGTTACACTAAGAACATTTTGTGAAAGATATTCAGATTGAGCATTAATTTCAGACTAGAACAAAAAGCAAATGACAATAAAAAATTATTTTAATCTATATATAAATAATTATGTTGGATTCATCGTCTCAGTCTAGAGGAGTATTATATATAAGATAAAAGAAAAAAAAAATAAGTGCAGAAAAATGTGCTTATGGAAATATTTTATCTAAGAAATTTAATAGTGAATAGAAAAACACGAAGAGAAAAAAAAGGAGAAGCAATAATAAATCATATGTATTAATACTAATTTTTTCCGTAGCTGAACTAGTCGAATCATAGAATAATATGTACGCGATATGTAAGAGAATGAAATTATTATTATTATTATTTTTTGTATTTTTTTTCTTTACCTTTTCTTTTTCTAATTGTTCACAATGACGTGATGTTTCTTCAAGTACAATTTGTACATGTTCTAATTGATGTGTAGCTATACGAATACGTTCACATACATCATCATACTTTATTTTTAAAGATTTATAATCATTTTCAAATTCATCTGCACGTCGTCGTTCTTTTTCCAAATCAACATTTAAATTTGGTTCAATCTATATTTATTAATAAATATATTAATTAAAACAAATAAAATTTTAAACAAAAAAAATAATTTGTTCTTGACAGAAAATAAATCATGTCTATATATATATATATATATGATAAAATTTTCTCATTATGACATGAATAATAACATACAATTTCCATAATGTGAGTAACATAAATGATACTGATAAACAATATTGACTAATTAGATAAAAAAACAACAACAGTATTTGATATAACATCTTGTCGATATTTTTTATATTAATAGCTTATGACATTAAATCATGTCAACACGAACTGATTTATCTCTGATTAAAAAAAAAAGAACGTGCAATTAATTAATTGTTAGAAAGACGAAAATAGAAACTGAGCACTTTTGAAGAGTTCTAATGGTACTCAAATTTCAGACGTTTTGCTTTAGGAATGTTTTCATTTTTGTGTATTAAATAATATTAAGTCGGTATTCATTGTAATGAATTGTGAGAGTGATTTCACGTATGTCGGCGGCATTCAATATGATGGCGTCTTGCGCCATCGGCACTTTCAGGAGTTTTTTTTTCTTTTATTACAATATGTGAACCACTTATGATAAGAACTTTTTAGCAATAACATTTCTGATCAAAATCATTACCTTGACTTTTTTTTTTACTTTAAATTTGATAAAAGAAATCTGTAAATGTAATCTTTGTGCGATTACATGATATAATTAGTGTTGCTAATAGAGATCTGCAAACTGGTCCCGTAATGTTTTCTGTTCCAGAACTAGACTACCTATTTCCATATTTATTATTCTGTTCTGACTAATGATCTACAAATAGGCCTTTTTTATTTATTTATGCCCAGGTCGAGAAGTACGAGTGGGTTCCGGCAGAAAAACACTGGAAGTTATTGGAACAGGGTGGCAGTATTCCGGCTGGACACTTTTCGGATTTTTTCGGTGACTTCCGATCAAATTCCTCTCGTTTTCTTCAGGAAGTTGTCCGGAAAAAATCCGAAACTTTTCCGGCCGGAATACTGCCACCCTGTTCCGGCGACTTTCAGTGTTTTCGTGCAGGATACGGTGAATTTTCCCGCATCTTTCCTACAGGATCCGGTGACCGGAATCTTCGACCTAGGATTGTTAATTTCTCAAAATCATCAATATTCATTTTATATATATTCAAAAAAATCATACAGATTATAAGAAAAGTCGTTTTTTTTTCTAGAAACAATAAAAAGTTTTGAAATTGAAATCAGGACCAAAAAAAAGAAAAGATGATCCCATCGATACCTAGTTGTTAATTATCGATTGATTGTTTTATTCGATCTATTTTAGGATATATTTTTACTTAGTTTCTATACAAATATAATAAGATATTTAAGTATTAAGAAAATTAATAATATTCATAAGTTAATATTTACTTTTTCTTTTTCATGTAATTGTTTTTGTGCATTATTTAATTCATATTTAAGTGTATTTGTATGTTCAATTAATTCATTATAACGTTCACGTAAACGTAATAATTCAAATTCAAGTTCAATATTTTTATTCTAATATAAAATATATTTATATAAAAAAATTTATTAAAAGAAATTTATTCATCATACGTCAATATTTGATTTTCATTTGTTAATTTCATAAGATTTTGTTTATTAATATCATCTAATCGTTGACTACATGTTAGAATATGTTTATGTAATACATCACATTTTAATTTAAGATTTTCCATATGACCTTTAATTCCTTCATCTGAATTATCAAACTAAAAAATTATGAATATTTTAAATATCAATCCAAAAAAAAA